CAATGGTTAACAACCTCACAACACATCAACACTATCCTTACTCAATCTTGGGTTCCCTATCACCAGCTTTCCTGTCCCCTTCTGCCTTCTAGCCCTTATCCTTGGACTGCTGTGCCTCATTAGTCCCATTTGGTTTTATGGGGCTGTCCACTCCCCCCTTCCTTCTTCTTTTGATGCTTCTTGAGTCATTCAATTTTCCCTGTAAAATAGTTGAATATTTCAACTTGAGGCTTGAATGTTTTCTTCAGTTACTTCAGCTTGAGAAATGCTGAGTATATTTTTTCCTTTCAGTTTTCTAACTCCAGGACTTTGAACATTTCCTTATAATGCTTTGTCTTCTCCAGCTGCCCTTTGAAATCTTCTATTCAGCTCTTTTACTTCATCATTTCCTCCATTTGCTTTAGCTGCTTTTCATTAAACAGCAAGTTTCAGAGTCATTTCTAACATCCATTTTAGTTTTTTCTTTCTTTTCTATCTTTTAATGACCTTTTGCTTTCTTCATGTATGATGTCCTTGATGTCATCCTATAATCTCATCTAGTCTTCAGTCATTCGTGTTCAATGCATCAAATCTATTCTTGAGATGGTCTTTAAATTCAGGTGGGATATACTCAAGGTCATACCTTGGCTCTCATGGACTTGTTCTAAGTTTCTTCAGTTTTAATTTGAACTTGCATATAAGTAATTGATGGTCTGTTCCACAGTCTTTCCCTTGCTTTGTACCAACTGATATCAAGCTTCTCCATCGTCTCTTTCCACCGATAGTCAATTTGATTCCTGTGTATTTCATCTGACAGGGTCCATATGTATAGCAACAGTTTATGTTATTGAGAAAAGGTATTTCCAATGAATAAGTCATTGGTCTTGAAAAATTCTCATGCAATCTCGTGTTGTTTCTACCATCAAGGCCATATTTTCCAACTACTGATCCTTCTTCTTTGTTTCTAATCACCAGTAATCATCAATGTATTTTGATTACATGTTTGATGCTTCTTAGAGGTAACTTAAAGTTTTCAAAAAATAAGTTTCTCTTGTGAACTTAGGCTGGCTGGGGCTGGGGGTGGATGGAAAAGATGAGAAGAATGAGAAGATTCACTCAGGTTCACTTTAGTAGATGAATCTTTTGAGTTGGGACTGCACTGCAGAGACCTAGAAGAGGAATTAGGGAGTCAGGAGGCTCACTGGTATCCTCTGAACCAAGTACAGAATTGATGCCCAGTCTATGATCAAAGAAGGCCAGAGAAGAGCTTGCTGAGGAGCTCAAACTGTCTGGTTGAAAGATAGGAGGTTGTAGGGTGAAGGAATAAGACAAGTGGTGGGGACGATGGTGGGTGGGGAGCTAGGCCAGACAAGTGGAGACGGGAGGGCATGTGAGTGAAAGCCAGCAGGCTGGGTCTCTTGTGGCAGCTGGGAGACACTGGGAAAAAGCATGGAAGGAAGATTATATAGGGGTGGAGACTGGCTTGCAAACCCCATGGCCAGCTGGCCTTGAATGGAGATTTCTGTTGACCTAGTGTCTAATGAACCAACTGTCACATGGTTGTGGGTTTGTTTTCCAGGAAAAGTAGCTGGGAAGTTCCTCAGAAGCAACATCTTGCTGTCCAACCCTGTGGTGGGGCTGGTGATCGGGGTGTTGGTGACCGTCATGGTGCAGAGCTCCAGCACCTCCTCATCCATCATCGTCAGCATGGTGGCCTCCTCATGTGAGTCTGGGGAACCATGAGCCCATGTTTCTAAAAGCTGGGGACCATGTTTCTAAAAGCTGGGAACTCATGTTTCAGACATTTACCTGTCCACCTGGAAAGGCTGGCATTTACTCTTAATATATGTCCATGTCTTGTCACCATTATCCTCCTATTTTGTCCAACTATAATGAGCTCCACCTTGATCCCTGACAGCCTCCTGTTTGGGTTTTAATGATTGAGCCTGACCCAATGCTTGAGAACTTAGTTTTGAATTCTGTAGAACTGCCTGTCCAGTCCAGTGGCCACTAGCCACATGTGTCTATTTACTTTTTTTAATTTTAATTAATTTAAATTTAAAAGATAAAATATTCCTCAGCTGCACTAGCTACACTTCAAGTGCTTAATAGCCACAAAGAACCTTTCCATCATCACAGAAGTTTCTACTGGACACCACTGGTCAGTACTAAGAATAAAGACATATCTAGTCACATCACACACTGGCTTTGGGACAACTGAGCTTGGGGAGATGGCATTCCAAACTGGTGTTTGCTTCAACTGAGTTGAGATAGGTTCTCTTAAGCCAGATCAGTTTACATTGGTTAATTTTCAGCCACTTTGAATTATTTGGCATTTTAAAACTCTCCCCAGCTGGGCCTTTTCAGATTGCAGTCACATCCCAATGATCCCTCTTCCTGTGGCCTGAAGGAATGGATTGCTTCCATGGGGATTAGTCCCAAACTCCTCCTTGTCAATTTCCTACTCTTTTCTGAAAATCTTTGGCCTGGCCACTAATGAAAAGTTATTTCCTCAATAACCTAAGCAGAACCACATATTGCCCAAAATTTACCAGTGAACTAACTAGTGAATTAACTTGTGGGTCCAAATTTTTGCCTCAGGGTAGCATTTGCCTATGAAACATAAACATAGCAAGGTACCTGTTACATAGGAATATAATAGCGGCAAACTCCTTTTCCGTCTGTTTCCTATTCTTTTCTGAAAATCTTTGGCCAAATCTGTAATGAAAAGCTATTTCCTCAATAATGTAAGCTAGACTAGCATTTTGGCCAAAATTAACTAGTGAATTAACTAGTGAGCCAAATTAGAAAAAAGGCATTACTTCTTCAAAATACTTTACATCCATGTGTCAGAAAATTTTGGTAATAGACTGATTTTGTCCTTAAACATTGACTGTTTCCTGGTGTCTTTAATCTAGCCTTGCACCTGTAATAGGGACAAGAGGGAACTTTAGAAAGGCATTTTTAAACTGAGGTCCAAAAAAGATGCAAGGAATCTGAATTCTCAAATTGTGTGCCTGATTTTTTTTTTTTTTTAATGATGCATGTACGAATTTCTGTAGTGAGTCACCCTAGCTTTTCATCAGACTCACAATGAGGTGCATAATCCCAACTAGGTTAAGAACAGCTGCTTTCAGGGATTACCAGCTTGAATGAGTTTAACCTCGCCTTAGGCCCAAGGCTATCTGGAACACAGCCAGGCAGCTTTCCTGAACTTTTTGTTGTTCTTAGACCTGATTCATGGTGACTGAAGGATCAGACTGTTGTAAGCCGTAAAGTTTCACCTGGAAGTAGATCACCAGGCCTTTCTGGTTTCCTTAGTTTGGAAGCTTTGCAGAAGCCTGTTCAGTATCATAGCAGCACTGAAGCCTCCGTTGACAGATGGGTGGTGGCTGTGCATGAGGTGCATTGGCTGGGAGTCAAACTCAGGTCATCCACATGGAAGCTGAGAATTCTACCACTGAGCCACCAGTGTCCTCCTTCCTGAACTTGCTCATCTTCTTTTCCACCCTCCAGTGTTGACTGTGCGAGCTGCCATCCCCATCATCATGGGGGCCAACATTGGAACCACCATTACCAACACCATCGTGGCACTCATGCAGGCAGGAGACCGGAACAAGTTCCGAAGGTAGGAGGCTCTGAATCAGCCTTTGCCACCATCAGGTCTATTGTTTGGGGCCATATTAGCCAATGAAAACATGAATTCTCATTGCTGGGGCTCCTAGAAGTATCCATGATAGAGTACAACTGGGAGCTGGGATCACATTCAGTTAATTACACTCGCTGGACCTCAGCTTTTTTATCTGCATAGCAGGGTTAATAATAGTATCCATTGCCACATTACTGTCCTAAGGATGAAACCTGATCATGTATGGATGTGCTTACGAGGTGCTCAATAGATGGAAGCTGTAGCTTTAAGCCTGCCTGCCCTGTGGTGTCATTAAAACCAGGCCAGTTAGGGTAGGATTTATGGTCTCGCTTAGTCATAAATAATTATACCCACTGTTCATTATGGACTATCTCGTTATCCGACTTTTCGAATAATAGTAAACAGTGTACTAATGACCTACCTCTGGCAGTAATGAACCAGGCAAGATTAACATCTGCTCTGATCGTTAAGGTTATGTGTCAACTTGAAGTGGCCACGATTGGCAGTGGTTTGGCAGTTATCTAATGATGTAATTTAACAGCTCTGTAATGATATGTAGCCATTTTATGATCTGATGTAGTCATCCTCCATTTTTGCATTACACCTATTTTCGCATAACGACCGGGTGTTTGGAAATATCCATGTCAATAAGTGAGAAGTGGATGTGTGACTTCCTAAAGCTTCCATTTTTGGCCAGCTCAACCCTTGCCATTTTTTGTTCTTCACTTGCATGCCAGTAAAAGGCATCTTTGTAGCTGCATGAGATGTGAAAATGGGGCAGTTTGAATACAGGCAAAAGGGATATCACTTCTTCCAAAAAGCTTAATGTGGAAATTAAGCACATTCTTTTGGCCTTCCTGATTGATGATGGACTTTTATCAGAGCTTATTAAAGTATATATAAAGAACAATGAGCAAGGAAGACTGAGGATATTTGCATCTTGCCTAGGTGATGCTGTCACTGTGTGATTCAGGCAGATGGCATTAAAGTGGGTTAGGGAGACTGCAAATGTCATCCCTTGTGTCTTGTAAACTGGCCCAAGACAGTGGACACGTCCTCAGAGGTGTCCTTCTTTGCCCCTAGCCTCCTTGGTCCCTTCTGAAGTGTGAAGCAGGGTTATCATTCCTATGCCCATTTTTTAAAATAATTTAAATTTATTTTTATTGTTGTTGAAAACATACACAACAGAACATCCAGCAATTCAACAATTTCTATGCCCATTTTGTGAGTGTGGAAACTGAGGCTCAAATAGGCTAAGAGACTTCACTGCAGAGCATAGCTGGGACTCCATCACTCCATCCAAGTCTCCATACTACTGATCTTGGAATCTTTCCACTGTTCCACCAATTTTTGCCTCAGGGTAGCATTTGCTTACAAAATAAGAATTATGAAAACATGAGACCTAGCAAAGTGCCTGATATATAGGAATATTCTTGGCTTATTTGGCCCTTGTTTGGTGATATTTAAGTACGTAGATTGTTTTCAATTACATCTTTGGGGATTTTTTTTCTTTCGCTCCTGGACTACTTCCTTAGATTCCTAGAACAATAGCTACTATATCAAACATCTATATGGCTCTTAAAGCTTTTTGTCAAATTACCACGAAATATTTGTGTCACTTTACACACACCAACAGTGTATGAACGTGCCGCCCTTAAATCACCCTCTCCAGCAACAAAGTTATTTTTCACTAGTAAAGCTCAGCGTTTATTTCCCCTTCATGGTTATTAGCTGTTACTTCTATCTGTTCACGTCCATTGTCAAGTTTACACTTTTGGTTTGGGGATTATTTTCAACAAGCAGATATTTTTAAAAGGAAATTTTTTCATTGAGGAAAATCTAGATCAGAATTTCTTAACCTGGGCATAGTTGAGGTGGAATTCAAGGGATCTGTGATCCTGCTCAGACAGATGCAGAGAGTAGTACATATGAGTCTTGTTTTCTGTGGAGACTGTTTATGTGTTTCATGAGAGTCTTCAGAGGAGCCATGATCTTAATTTTTTTAAAGCTGAGAATTCTCTTGTGTAGAGGATTTCTATGGTTACATTCGTACCAGTTCCCAAATTTCCAAAGGAAGGTTGTCTTCATTCAATATGTGTGATTCACAAGTGGTCTTGATGTAAGAGAACATGTATAGAACATGTCTCTCCCAAGCATAGGAGACTCTGAGATGAGTGCTGTCTGATCTAGTGGGAAAAGCTCTGCCTAGGAGTGGAAACAAGAGTCCTGGACCCAGAGCCCTCTTCACGTTCCCTGTGCTTGTCAGCCCTCAGTTTCCGCATCTGTTGAATAGGGTATTAATAACACCCACTTTGGGATCATTGTAGGAATGAAAATGAGATTTTACACATGTGTACAGATATGGGACCCCTAACAGATGGTAGCAGATGGTACAAGTAATGACCTCCCTAGATCATGTCCACTTGCTTGCTGAGTAATCTGACTGTTGGCTTGGTGGGGTTCCCCTTGTGTAGGGCTCTTGCAGGGGCCACTGTCCACGATTTCTTCAACTGGCTCTCTGTGTTCGTGCTCTTGCCCCTGGAGGCTGCCACCCATTACCTAGAGATCCTGACCAACTTTGTGGTGGAGACTTTCCACTTCAAGAATGGTGAAGACGCTCCAGATCTTCTGAAAGTCATCACAGATCCCTTCACAAAGCTCATTATCCAGGTAAGCAGGCTTCCTTCAGAGAGGGGGAAGAGCCTAACTGCCCACACCCCAATCAGCTGGGCAGACATGGTGAAGGGTGGGTGGATCTGTAAACATAGCTCTTGACTCCCTCTGGAACAAGCCTAGGAAGGTGGGGCTTCAGGGACACCTGAGAGAGTAATTGGAAGTGGCTCACAGTTTCATTAATCTCCTCAGAACCTTTCTACCAGCAACCACTTACTTTTCCTTCACAAAGCAGTTGTGAGATAGTGCTAATTCTTTTCTATTGCCTTCCTCAGCTGGATAAAAAAGTTATCAACCAAATTGCGATGAAGGATGAAACAGCCCCAAACAAGAGTCTTGTCAAGATTTGGTGCCACACTTTCACCAAAGTGGTAAGTTTCTAAGAATAGTGTCTGAACTTAAAGCAACCATTCAAGGGAGGCAAATAGAAGGTAAAGGAAAGGAAAAAAATACAGCTCCTGTAAATCAAAACTGGCCAGCGAGATTCCACACTGAGGAACTGTCTGCTGTGTTGGCTTAACCAGTAGGACAGATAGGACAGACAGGTGCCCTTTTGCCCTATCCCACAACTCGGATACATATCCCTGGCTTTTTCATGGCTGCACCTCTGATCCCATTTATGGAGGGACCCGTGGAAACAGTGCATCCTCTCTACAGGTGGTGGCAGATGGTGGCATCTCTCACATGCCTTTCTCAATGGTTCTGCTAGGGAAACTGTGTTCCTCCTTGGAAGAACCACAGCATCCTTCCCTTGAAGTCAGGGAAACTTCAACCTGCTTTGAGGCAGGGTTGTAGCTTATCCTTGTTTATAGGGTGTATATGTGTGTTTTTGAGAGGTGTTAAGGCTAGAGATGAAAAGAAATAGAGGAAGTAGGTGTGAAGGTTGCTTTTGTATGTCCTCAGTTGTCCCAAGAGCTTTTCTAATAAAGATGGAGCAGCAACATCAGCAGGCAGAAACCAACCAGCTTCAATGAGAATATTTTATAAAGGCTCAAAAGTCACACTTTATAACAACTGTCACCTTAAAAAAAAAATAAACAAGTCCTTAAAATAAAACAAATGATACAATTGAGACATTGTGCACGTTGACACATATAATGTTTCCCTCCTGGTCCCCCCATTGCCTGCCACTCCCACCAAAAGTAAATGTTAAGGAGCAAACAATTTCTTATGTTTGCTGTCCAGACTGAGATGAATGTCACCGTTCCCTCACCTGAGAACTGCACTTCCCCTTCCCTCTGTTTCACGGATGGTCTCCAATTCTGGACCACGAAGAACGTGACCTACAAGGAGAACATCGCCAAATGTAAGTGGAACTCTGCAGGGCGACAGCCCCTCAGATGGGCTATCTGGGAGGCTGACAGGTGTTTCTTATCTGTGCGGTGTCCAGGTTGTCAAATGATCTGTTCCATCCTAAGTATATACCCATTTGTATATCTTGTGTCTCTAATTAAGATATACAAATTGCCGTCAAATCAATTCTGACTCAGTGACCCTATAGGACAGAGTAGAACTGTCCCATAGGGTTTACAAGGAACAGCTGGTGGATTCGAACTACTGACCTTTTGGTTAGCAACCATAGCTGTCAACCACTGCACCACCAGGGCTTCAATATATAGTGCCCAGAATTAAACTTAATACTTCAGGTGTGATTTACCCCCCAGAGAATCAAATGAGCTTATTGCCTCCCATGTTCTCAGTGCTGTGTTATCTATTGATATAACCATGGTTTTCTGGAATTACCATGGGGACACAGAGACTTGGAAAACAAAGGATTTTACAATTAGCAATATCCCCTGCTCTGACTTTCCCATCCAACCCCACTTTGCTCCTGAAACACTTAGCTGGAAGTATTCTTCATATTGTGAGTAAAAAAAACAGCATGAGATTTAGAGGTAGAAGAACCGGGCTGGGGCGTGGAGTTGTCCCTGACTAGCTTTGTGACTTTAAGGACCTCACTTCATCTTCCAGCCTCATGAAAACATCTCTATAAACTGTGAAGCATGATATCAATGAAATAGATACACACTGGGTTTGAATCCCAGCTTCACCACCTTCTAGAAGTGTAACCTTGGGTTTAATCTCTCTGAGCCCATGTTTCCTCATCTGTAAAATGGCAATAATTAAAATGCTACATTGTTAGGTTTTTGTGACATCAATTATGTGAGTGCTCGGCACATAGTACATGCTCAATAAATGTTAGATGCTGTTAGCGTTACTAGTGATAATAACTGGTCTTCCTTGCAGGCATATAGATATTCTATCACTGAAAGCATTGTACTTCAGGATAGATGTTGAAATGCTCTTTTGACAATGTGCAATTTCTCCTGTATTAACATAATTTCCTGTCTAATTTTTTGAGTTGCTGTTGTCAATTTGACCCATATAGATAGTTGTTAAAAGAACACAATGCTCAATGTAGACATTCTTTACTAGTTAAGTGAAGTTATGGTTTGGATTTAAGAAGACTTCAGGGGATATTCTTGGTTTGAGCTTTAATGATTCTCTTGACAATAGTTTTGTGGACTCATCCAGCCTCTGTGGCTCTAGAAAGTCTGTATTCTATTTGAATTTTGAATTCTGTTTTGTATTTTCCCCCTTTTGATCAGGATTCTTCTATAGCTAACATCTAACTTGATGCTCTGTATTCCTGGAGTGTTGTCCACGATACATCTGTATCTCTGCTATTGAGAAGGGGAAAATAAAAAGGACAGCTCATGCCTTCTGCCTAGGAGCAATGCCCAGCTATACATATCCACTGAGTTCCCATTCACCAGAACATAGCCTTGGAACCAGATATAGCTGCAAGGGAGGCTGGGAAATGGGATCTTTATCCTGGACTGCCATGTGCCAAACTAACAACTTGTATTATTATGAAAGAGAAGGATGTTTGGGAATAAATACCAACATGTGGCCATGGGTGACTGTGTCCTGACAAGGGCTTTCTGTGGTCTCTGCAGGTCAGCACATCTTTGTGAATTTCAACCTCCCAGATGTTGCCACTGGCGTTATCCTGCTGATAACCTCCTTGTTGGTCCTCTGCACCTGCCTGGTCATGATTGTCAAGCTCCTTAACTCTGTGCTCAAGGGACAGGTCGCAAGTGTCATCAAGAAGACCCTCAACACTGGTAGGCACTCTGACCCCCCTATTCTAGGCCTTCCAGGGGTTCATGTCACAGGCCACTTCCACTGGGATCCTTTCGGTTCACATCAAGCTATGGCCTCTGCATGGAGCTTCTTTCTTGGATCTGAGAAGCTGCAGAACTTAGGATGTCATTCTCCCTTGAGATTTTTCTTGGTGTCTTGGGTGTGGAACAAGGCAGCAGGCACAAAGTTCCATCCCATGTTGGCAAGGTCCTGAGAAGGAGCCAGCTAAAATTCACAGAACTATGAGTTAAGCCTTCTTTCCTGGTTGGTTTTCTACATGCCCTTTCTTGGGTCCACTGGGGCCTTTAGGAAAAGGGTAACATGTGCCCCCCGGTCCCCACTTTTCTTCTACTTTTGGGGAGAAAATGTTGCTTTGGAAAAATACATCCACATCTGATTGAAGCCAATGAGATACCACTGACCAAGAGGAGCTTCTGCCCAGTGACATCATCATCCTGTAAAATCTTCATGAAATGGAGCCAAGAAAATCTGCCTCACAGGGTTGTCATGAGGGTGAATTAGTCAACTTTCAGGGCTACTTGTGTGTAGGGGGCCAATCCTGTGCCAGTGGTCTGGAGGACTGGGTTGGTAGGCTTGTCCCAAGCTGTTGCATGTTCTTGATAGTCCTTTAGGTGAAAGCAAATGTAGGGATTGTGTAGTAACGGGAGAACAGGCTGAAGAGGAGATATCGAGGTCTGGGTGCTTTGAGTGCTTTGTGGGAAAGTATTTGTGTGGGTGAAGCATTTCTAACCTCTGACCTCCAGGAAATTTGTTTCTGTCTTCACTCACATAACACCACACCCACATCATGAAAACGCAGGATGAAAGGCAGCAGGGAATGAAGCTTTGCACTCTCAGATCATGGTGTGGGGTGGGGAGGCATCTTCATAACCTAACCTGCTAGCCCAGCCTGGGCTCCTCCGGAGTTGCAAGCCCATCCTCCATCCTGTGCCTTCTGTCTTCCAGATTTCCCCTTTCCCTTTGCCTGGTTGACTGGCTACCTGGCCATCTTCGTAGGGGCAGGAATGACCTTCCTCATGCAGAGCAGCTCTGTGTTCACGTCTGCCATGACCCCACTGATTGGTGAGTTTTCCGCTTTGTCTTCCCCCGGCTTCTCCCCTGGCCACCGTTGCCATCTCCCATCATCCGTTGGGACTGATGCTATGGTCTTTGTGGTTTTTCCCAGGCATCGGTGTGATAACCATTGAGAGGGCATACCCACTCACGCTGGGCTCCAACATTGGCACCACCACCACTGCCATCCTGGCTGCTTTAGCCAGCCCAGGCAGTACCTTGAAGAGTTCGCTCCAGGTGAGGACAAGGAGTGAGGCAAGGGCTCTGTGAAGGTTGGGAGGATATAACCATATAGCTACATCCTTTGGGCTTGCAAGCTGGTGGTTTCTAACAAGAGCCAGACTTTTATCTACTAGGTTCAAAAGGTGGAACTAAGGTGTGGAGGAGAAACCACTTGGAGATAGAGTCCAGTAGCTCAATCTCAGAACAGTCAAAGCTATTCTCCCTGGGAAGGTAACAAAACTCCCATTACTGGCAATGGCTTAAACAAAGGTTGAGTGACCACTGATAGAGAGATTGGAAAGAGTGTTTAGGCAGCGCAGACAGTGCCTCCCATCTCCTTACCCCCTCTTGGGTGGCCTCCACCTTGTCAATCACCAGGGAGGCAGCCTGGGACATAGGCCTGGCATTAGAAGAAGAAATGTTGTGGAAAAAATTAACTTCCTTGATTCTTATGCCCTGAATCAAGCTTTCATTCCTACTTAGAGACAAGTCACCTCTGTGCATTTGTAGAAGGACAGTAGTATAACTGGCCCATTAGCTGGTCTGAGCTGATGCTGACTCCCAGCTGAATCTTCATTCCTTTGCAGAGCTCTTGTTGATAGTATGACCTTCTCCCCTCCCCCAACCACAATACAACAGACACTCCTGTTTACCTGCCCAACCTCTTGTGTTTCAGATTGCCCTGTGCCACTTCTTCTTCAACATCTCTGGCATCTTGCTGTGGTACCCGATCCCACTCACCCGCCTGCCTATCCGCCTGGCCAAGGGGCTGGGCAAAATCTCTGCCAAGTACCGTTGGTTTGCTATCTTCTACATGGTCTTCTTCTTCTTCCTTATCCCACTGACAGTGTTTGGCCTCTCGCTGGCTGGCTGGCAAGTGCTGGTGGGTGTAGGGGTGCCCATCATCTTCCTGCTGATCCTGGTGGTGTTCATCGGGCTCTTGCAGTCCCGCTGCCCATGGATCCTGCCCCGCAAGCTCCAGAACTGGGACTTCCTGCCCCTGTGGATGCACTCGCTGAAGCCTTGGGATTACCTCATCTCCCTGCTTACCAACTGCTGCCAGAGACGCTGCTGCTGCTGCTGCCGTGTGTGTTGCCTGTTGCGTGGCTGCCCTAAGTGCTGTGAGGACCTGGAGGAGGGGCAGGAGCACCCTAAAGACATCCCCATCAAGGCCCCTGATGCCTTCGATAACATAGCCATGAGCAGAGAAGCCCAGGATGAGGTCAAGTCCCAAGTCAATACCATGGGTGTGAAGACCATCTCCAACAGCACAGCCCTTTAGGGGGCTACCAAGAGATGGGAGGAGGGACCCCAAGTCCTACAGGCTTATGCACTCCTTTCACTGAGAAATGGAGTTGACATCAGTCCTAACTGTCGCTCCGCTTAGCCCAGTACGTCATGTGTAGGGTTGTTTCATCTCAGCCCCTGCTTGCTTGGTCCCTCTCCCAGGAAGGAACAGGACAATATGCAGTGAGAATTTCACACTGAAACCTGGCTAGATAGACAGATGATCACACCCACCTGTGCACCGAGGGGTTGGTCACTAGGACATATTTTCAGATTCAAATCATCCTCTTCAGAAGGAAACAGCTCAAGGGAGGTTCACAAAGGTGGATATGTAACTATATGTACTTGTGCATACACATACATGTTTTTCTTTATTGTGATAAAGCTCAACCATATCTTTTATTAAAGACTGGCTTCAACCAAGAGGTGTTCAAGCGCAGCTGCTCCTAGGTACCCTTGACCTCATCAGCTAGGTTTAGGTGAAGTAGCATAATAGTTTGTAGCTCATGAAGACTTGGAGAGGACTACTTCCTAACAAACCTAAAACCAAACTTATTGCCGTCAGGTCGAATTCTGATCCATGGTGACATTATAGGACAGAATAGAACTGCCTCGTAGGATTTCCAAGGCAGTAAATCTTTATGGAAGTGGACTGCCACATCTTTCTCCTGCAGAGCGGCTGGTGGGTTCGAACCACTAACTTTTTGTTTTGCAGCCCTGATAGAACTCCTCATACAAATACACTGTCAGCATCTCTTCACCTGGGTAGGTGAGGTGAGGCTAGTCCAACCGGTTTAACCGCTGTGTCCTTGCTCTCAAATACTGATTGTTATTCATTTTTACCTTGAGACAGCAAGGTAGCTTAGGCTCTGTGGCTAGGAAGTTTCCAGAATGGGAGGAACATCTGAACTACAGAGGTTTACAATGTGCTTTGTCTTGCCTGCTGTGCCAGTCTTCGTAAGTGAGAGAGAGAGGTCCTGTTCCCAGACTGGGCTCATTTGGGGAGATATATTATCTGCCTAAAGTACCTCAGGCTCTTAATTTGCCTAATTTAGAAACCAGGTTGACAGTTGTGGCAAAAGCCTAATGGGGCAGGTAAAAATCACCCCTCCCCACCTTTTAGTCCACCTCATGGTTTGGATCACTGGGAATAAGATATGCAAGTTCTCTAAGTCCCTCACTCTACTCTTGTCACCCTGAATCCCAGGAACTATCTGAGTATAGAATGGTTCTCTCTGCCTACTTCTCACTCTCTGTGAGCAACTAAGTTTCAGGATCAGCTTTTAGTGGTCAGCTTCCAACTATCATCCATCCACTCATGCATCCATATGTTAGAATCTAAACCAGAACCTCTTTCCAAACTTTCTCCCACTTCTCCATAGATGAGCTTTTATGTCTTGCTCCCTCTCCATGCCCACTAAACTCAGAACTTTTCTCCCAGGGAAGAATCCAGACCATGGCTGGGCCGCTCATAGAACCGAGATCATAAAATAGCTGTGGGGCTCAGGTGTGTCTGTGGGACCAAGGGCTGTGCTCGTTCTTGTCCCAGGTATGTCTTCTGGAATGCTATGTTGTATTTACACCTTTTCCTCCACTGTTCCTCACTCCCAACAGCCCACTTCTCATGAGCTGTAGTGGTGTCTGGGAAAGGGGAGTGGGTGAAGCTGAGCGCCAAGACACTGTCCTCCCCTATCCCAGCTTCACCATCTTAACAGGTTGTGATACCAAACTGAGCCCTCCTTGTAGATAGCAGTTCCCAAACGTGCCATTTACCTGTACAGCATTTTCATAACTTATGTAGCAAACAGGTAGCAAGATTTGTGTTTTATAGTGCTCCCATTTGAAAATGGGGCACAGTTCTTCTATGAAATGTAAAGAAAAAACACCATCTTTGTATATTTTGTAATGTCTTTTTTCAACATGCCTCTGTAGCCACACCTGAGTCACACACTCTGTAAATATGTAAGTTAAACCCAGGCAGGGGCTGTGGCTTTCTTTGCACTCTGGTGATTTTTTTAAAATTGTATTTCTGTGCTTGCATTGATTTTTGTTTTGTTTTGCTTTTTACTTGTTGTGGGAAGGGACAAATAAAAAGAAAAAAAAAAAAAAAAAAGATGATCAAACCCAGAGTGAGTGTGTTGCTTTTCAATTACCAGGAAATAGGGGCCTGCATTTTTCCTAAAATTACGAACTTTCACATTTCACCACCTACACCATGGCCAGTGACATGATTTGTGGGGACTCTTGTTCAAAAAGCAGGGGGAAAAGTGCCATTATAAGTATTAAAAATATACAATTTCCTTTCCACAGTCTCTCTCTGGACTTGTCAAGGCTTTTTTTTTTTTTTTATTTCCGTTTATATGGCATTCTAAGTGAAGAAAAATCGCAACTTTTACTGTAATTATTAGCATGAATTTGGTTGTTCATCTTTATATTGTGTAATGCCAGTTTTAAATGCAACACAGGAACTTTAGTTCATATGCAGAATTATTTTATAGCTCTTTCCAACCAGAACAGCAGAAACACTGCACAAAGGTAACTAAACAGTTTCTTTTTAGTTGTTGATATGCACACATTCCACATACATTCTCTCCCTTAATCTTACTGATGAATAAGGAAGGGCTGAGAGGAAAAGGAACTGTGGTTAGCCTATATTGTCACTTTCACTGTAAGTGGTTAGCTAATAGAGGCAAGTAACGTGTGAGAAAGGACGTGATACCTGTCGGTTGTCACGTGGCAGCCCTGGATAGTGCAGTTTGCTACCTCTTAGTCTACTCCTTCAACTGACCTCAGGTCCATTTTGAGTCACATGATATTTGTCCCACTTATCCTAATAATGAATCAAGGCAGGGTTCTGGCCTCTCCGGCTTGGGTGATAGCAGTTTCTTGACTTGCATTTCTCTTGGAAATACTGCCAAATCAAACCCACTGCTGTCCAGTCAATTCCAACTTATTTCAACCCTATAGGACAGAGTATAACTGCCCTCATAGTGTTTCCAAGGTGGTACCACATCTTTCTCCCCCAGAGCAGCTGATGAGTTCCAACCACCGACTTGGTTAGCAGTTAAGTGCTTTAACCACTGTGCAACTAGGGCTCCTTTTGGAAATACTTAGAGGAAGAAAAATGCAAACAAGCAAGGGTAGTGTATCTTATACAACTGCCATGCACATTAATCCCCTGTATTTTTTGAGGTCTGACTATATGCTCCACCACTTGTCTGTCAGTTTGTCATACAGTGGTGGCTTGTGTGTTGCCATGATGCTAGAAGGATGCCACCGCTATTTCAAATACCAGCAGGGTCACCCATGGGACAAGTTTCAGTGGAACTTGCAGTTAAGAGAGACTAGGAAGAAGGACCTGGCGAACTACTTCTGAAAAATATTGGCCAGTGAAAACCTTGAGGAGAGCAGTGTAACTTGGCTAATATGGTGCTGGAAGATGAACCACTCAGGTTGGAAGACACTCAAAATATGACTAGGGAAGGGCTGCCTCATCAAAGTAAAGTCGACATTAATGATATGGATGGAGTAAAGCTTTCAGGAACTTCATTTGCTAATACGGCATGACTCAAAATGAGAGGAAACAGTTGCAAACCTCTATTAGTAATCTGAACATGGAATGAACAAAGTATGAGTCAAGGAGAATTGAAAATTGTCAAAAATGAAATGGAACACCTGAAGATAGATACTCCAGGGATTAGTGAGCTAAGATGGACTGGTATTGACCATTCGGAATCTGATAATCATATGGTCTACTATGCCAGCAATGACAAATTGAAGAACAGCTGTGTCACATTCTTCATCAAAAAGAACATTTCAAGATCTATCCTGGAGATGGGGCCAAGATGGCAGAGTAGTCAGATGCTTCCAGTGGACCCTCTTACAATAAAGACTCAAAAAACAAGTGAATCAATTATATATGACAGTCTCGTAGCCCTGAACATCTAAGGAAAAGTTGAGGAACACGACTGAGTGGCAGAGGGAGGGAGAGATGGTTCGGAAGCAGCGAGGAGTTGCCAGACCTGACCTGGCAAGAGCCTGAGCCCTTCAGGTCTGAACAGCTCATGGGTGAGTGGTGAGGCAAGCAAGCAGAGATAACTCAGGAGGCGTGTTTTCCACACTGGGAGAGACCCAGTGACAGAGAGTCTACACCTTAGACTTAAAGACACAATCTAAAACTCAAAGGATGGAAAAAAATATATCAAACAAACAACACTCAAAAAAGAGCAGGAGTGGCAATATTAATCTCTAACAAAATAGACTTGAAAGTAAAATCCACAACAAAGGATAAGGAAAGACACTATAGAATGATTAAAGGGTCAATACACCAGGAGGACATAACTATAATAAATATTTACACACCCAATGACAGGGCTCCAAAATACATAAAACAAACTCTAACAGCACTGAAAAGATAGACAGGAGACTTCAACACAACACTCTCGGTGAAGGACAGAACATCCAGAAAGAAGCTCAACAAAGACACAAAAGATCTAAATGCTACAATCAAACAACTTGATCTCATAGACATATACCAAACACTCCACCCAACAGTAGCCAAGTATACTTCCTTTTCCAATGCACATGGAACATTCTCCAGAATAGACCACATAGTAGGCCATAAAGCAAGCCTTAACAACATCCAAAGCATCAAAATATTACAAAGCATCTTTTCTGACCATAAAGCCATAAAAGTAGAAATCAACTACAGAAAAAGCAAGGAAAAAAAATCAAACACATGGAAACTGAACAACACCTTGCTCAAAAACTACTGGGTTATAGAAGAAATTAAGGATGGAATAAAGAAATTCATAGAATCCAATGGGAATGAAAACACATCCTACCAGAACCTTTGGGACACAGCAAAAGCAGTGATGGAGGTCTGTTTATAGCAATAAATGCACACATCCAAAAAGAAGAAAGGGCCATAATCAAAACATTAACCCTACAACTAGAACAAGTAGAAAGAGAGCAGCAAAAGAAGCCCCCAGGTTC